CAAGCAGTGAATCCATGTGCTCACACTCCCACATGCAAGAACTTAATAAATAAATTCAGTAGTTCGGCAGAAACTTATTTCTGAGTAACAAGATGGCACGTGAACCAGCACTGGAGTCCAGCAGCAAGACTCAGGCCTGACACTTGGTTACCAATCCATTCACCCCTTGCACCAGGGTAAGGCTGAGGAGTTCAAGAAGCAAAGAACAGGAAAAGGGATTTTAAATGTTTGGGCAACAGATTGGTACCAAGCAAAATACATTTGCTTCCATTGCAAGCTCCACTCCCACAGACAGAAAAATACGCTGATTTTTTTTTTTTTTTTTTTTTTTACCTCCTGTATTCAGCTGTGTATTTAACCTTGGAGCTGTCAAGCTCCATCATGAATAATGAGCCATGGCAACACTCCGAGTGATCCTTGGAGAACAGACCAATTTTTACTATATGCTACGCAAGGCAAAACACTGTTATCACATTCCCATGGCACGGTACCTGCTTTGAAAATCTACAGTGATGTGGCCATCAAGAGGAGACCACAGGTAAATACAGAAAAAATAAGCTACTCCTTGATATTTCATCACCTACAAACACAGAATGAGCAATAAAACATGTAACATTCTAATGGTTCCTTTAGGCCTGTAACTAGTGGTGTCCCTCAGGGGTCAGTACTAGGCCCAGTCTTATTCAACTTATGATCTGGAGGAATAGTTAGAGTGCACCCTCAGCAAGTTTGCTGATGACACAAAGCTGGGAGGAGTGGTGGATACACCAGAAGGCTGTGCTGACATTCAGCAAGACCTGGATAGGCCACAGAGTTGGGCAGAGAGGAACCTCATGAAGTTCAGCAAGGGCAAGTGCAGGGTCCTGCACCTGGGGAGGAACAACCTCATGCACCAGTACAGGCTGGGGTGGATCTGCTGGAGAGCAGCTCTGTGGAGAGGGACCTGGGAGTGCTGGTGGACGACAGGTTGACCATGAGCCAGCAGTGTGCCCTGGCCGCCAAGAAGGCCAATGGCATCCTGGGGTGCATTAGGAGGAGTATGGCCAGCAGGTCGAGGGAGGTTCTCCTCCCCCTCTACTCTCCTATGAGTAGAGGCTGAGGGAGCTGGGCTTGTTGAGCCTGAAGAAGAGAAGGCTGAGAGAGGACCTTATAAATGCTTATAAATCTCTTAAGGGTGGGTATCAAGAGGATGGGGCCAAATTCTTTTCAGTGGTGCCCAGCAACAGGACAAGGGGCAAAGGGGAAAAACGGAAGCATAGGAAGTTCCGTCTGAACACAAGGAAGAACTTCATCACTCTGAAGGTGACAGTGCACTGGAACAGGCTGCCCAGAGAGGTTGTGGTTTCTCCTTCTCTGGAGATATTCAAGACCCACCTGGACGCGGTGCTGTGCAGCCTGCTCTGGGTGACCCTGCTTTGGCAGGGAGGTTGGGCTAGATGACCCACAGAGGCCCCTTCCAACCCCTAACATTCTGCGATTCTGTGATTTCTATTTAAAATGACACCAGGACTGAGAAGGAAATTTGTCTCACTGAACATGCGTTTCACACAAATGTTTCACAGCTGAGCAACACCTGCGTTTGAAACAACCCATGGTGCCTACAGTGCAAAGACACTCCAGCAGTGACCTCTAGCAGCTGGGCGCGAATGTGGGACAGGAGGGCGGCCTCTGCCCAAGCAGCCCCCAACACTCTCAGAACTAACACACTCCCCCACACACATGGCACTGCCAGAAAGTATAGAAAGAAACCGTAGTTGCTGGAATGAGGTACTGAAGCTCCTCCACACCCTAACCATGCCAAGGCAGGTCTTTAAGAAGGCACAGCACAGGTAAACAAGCAATGGCAAAAGCCATTTCTGCTAGAAGGGAAAAACTAAGAAGCAACAAGCTGAAGATTTTCAGCAGAAGGCATTCACTTCTCTGCTACAGAGCAATGGAGGGTTGTGGTTCCAAATATCCCTTGAAAAAAAAATCATCACCTGTTCAGGAAATGAACCTGGAAAACACACATGTTCTCTAACAGACCCAAGCAGCAAGCATCTGTTCTGTGCTTCTGCAAAGGGAAAACACAAATATATCCTTATTCCTGACCTGTTTGCAACAAGGTATTTGTTCGTGGCTTTATAGTAGGAAAAACTTGCCTTTATCTCCCTGCCTTTTCAGAGTCTCCTTGCCACAACTGAAGATACAGTACATCACTCTCTCTGTAGGGGCATCACTTCCACTTCAGTTTCAAAAGTTACTATAAACTACAGGAGCTTTCAAAAAGCTCTGCAGAGTCAAAGTCAGAAAAGCTCTTGAGTTCTTGTCTGTGTTATCACAGAGGTTCTTCTCCAACCTCAACCCATAGACAAGAACTCCAAGAGATTTTCTGACTTTGGTCTGCTAAGAGCCATCCAGTCCCGCAGGAGAGGGCTCCTTTTTCAACAGCAGTTCAGGGCATTCCACAGCTACTCACTTCATACTACAGCTCCCCTTCCCCTTACTCTTAATAGAGGACTTGTTCTATACTCAAAGAAGTCCCCAAAATTACGGGGACAGTAATTTTCTTTTCAGCATTATAGTTAAAATGTCCTCAGCCCTCCACACACACCGTGTCCAGTTCTCCCACTCCCTCATAATACTTTTCCATTTATGCCCCACATCATAGCTCTACACATTTAGCAATTCCATTCCCTGCTAGCAATATTTGGCAATAAGATCCCTTTAAAGAAGGCTAACTACAGATTTCACTCAAACAGAAGTTGGTACTGGGCCAATCTATAAGCTCTTTAATAAGCTTTCAAACTTCACTTCACACCAGGCAAGACTTTGCTCTGCACCAGGAGCAGCGACGTAGCTCTAAAAGCAAAGGTGGAAAGCTTGCCACTGCAAGAGGAGGAGGGGAGGAGGTCACAGATCTAATTCTTCTTGCAGCACTGCACCTTCTCCACTTGAGACTTTCCCTGGAGATACGCTGGCCATGTTTCACAAAAAAACTAGAGAAGCCCATGCAGATACCATGAAAATAACTAAAAGTAGTCACAAAAAAAACCCTGGCTGACAGTTGTATCAGAAGAGGAACAAAGACCAGTATGACAGAAAGTGGGTCATGGACTCAAAAATTAGGAATTGATAAAATTCAGGATGCATGGCCACATGCATACATGCAGCCTGGCATTTTCTGGGAACACTCATGTGAGGGTGGGGTTCCAGTTTTCAAAGGGATGGAGGAATCCAAGGCAAAGCCTCTCTAGCACCTCAGTACCTAGTCCCGTATCAGGACAAATGTTTTCTACCTATATATGCCAGATTTAGCACAGAAAACAGCAATCCCACCTATGGATGCTCCTCTCCACCTCTGTACCACTGCCACATTCATTCTCTGTAAGCTGTGCTCACAATGCCCGGCGAAATCACATTTCAGCCAGACTGTTTTTCTCAGGGGAATTAACAATACTCTGCAAATCGCCCTCCGTGCTACCTGTCTGATGACTAGAGTGGAAACCAAAAAACCAAAAAAAGGCAATTGATAAAATGATGCTCAACAGAAAGATGATCCTGCTTTGAAGACACAACACTAGCACCCAGGAAAACTACGCAATAGCTTTCTGTGTGAGGTTGGACAAGCCATCGTGTTCCACTCTGGTCAACGACTATGTGGCATCACACGCAGATGTCACACCTGACACACTGAAATACCGCCGTCGGAGCAGCTGACTGCCTGGAGAATCCCAGCTGGAATCTGTGGGAACCACGCGCACCGAGTACACAGCTGTCGGGAAGTCTCCAGCTGGGAACTCAACCCACAGGCACTTAAAAAAAGAAGAGTTATGAGTGTTACCCATGTACAGCACACACATCAATAATGTCGATCTGGCATAGATTAAACCCACAAATATCTACCACATCCTCAGCTTTTAACATACTGAGGGGTTTTCCCTACTGAGGGACGCCACACTGAAAGAACGACTTGTGACAGTAGCTGACTTTTCTCCTACCTATAGGTGAACCTTTCAGATGCCAACAGAACCAACCCTACAAAAGGGCTACACACCGACTCCCTAGACACTACTAAAACACATTTTAATCGTCTCAGGGGCAGGGAAACAGCACCATGGTAGAACTGCAAAGCTTCACACCTTAATTTTGAAAGGCAAACCACAAGTCTGACCACTCCTCGACTCCTAAAAGCTGAGAATTAAAAAACGGCAGGAAAGGAACTATCTTTTTCCAGCCTCACTCTCTGAAGTACCCATGCACATTTTCTGAAAAGTTTGCAGGGCTTCCCAACTAAAGACAGAACTAGCTGAAAGAATTTGATCTAGAACCTCAAGACTATCAAAAAATGACTACCTGAACACAGACCACCATATCACGAAGCAATCAGAAACCCAAGACATGTGTTAACAGATGCTCTAATTGCTAATTCGCATGCACACAGAGCTTATCAGAAGGGCCAAGGCACTTGAAAGGAAGAGCCCTGTTCAAATACAGATATTTGCCAGCAGCTGTATCGCCACCATATTCTCTAGCTGGTTTTGATTCAACTCAGCAGACATCAAGTTAATCCCACAGGACAGTATCATTCACTTTTATAATAGCTACTGACCTCATTTCTGTGTTTGAGCCCTGCCGTAGTGTCATGACTAAATGTGGCAAGCGACAAATCACACTGTCAGCAGCCAGTGCCTGTCCTTTCTCCTTTCAAAGCTTTCATTCATTTCTGCAGTTTTTTTCAAGTCATGCTGCTTCAAAACAGCTGATCCAGATGGTGGATATTTGGATTTCAACCTTCCCACATGGTGAGGTGGCTCAAGAAAATAAAAACTGTTGCTACCTGCTGCTGACCTACTTCTTTCTTCATTTCCTGCCATACGACAGAATAAGCAATACAGTTCACTGAACTGGTCTGCCACACCTACCCACCGCTCTGTCGCAAATATAAAATAAAATTAATAGAGGAAGGAAGGGGAAAAAGCAGCATGATCCAGTGGGGAATAAGGGGGAGCAACTCTCACCTCTATCATAGTCATCTTCCTCTACTGCTTTTTCCTGCAGCCTCTGAAGCCGTAAGATGAAGGATTTTATCTATGCAAAGAGAAAAGAGTTAATTATGAGGAACTTGCATTTAAAAATATTTAGACTATTAACCCCTGCGCAACAGAAATTTAATGGATTACTACATCACTCGAATGGCCCAATTCTGAGAGTCAACCCAACATGTGTTAAATGGGCAGACCTATCTGGAAGTCAGCTGAACTGCAGCTATCTGAGCCAAGCATCGCTTTAGCCCTAACACATACAGAGAACAACAAACAACCTTTCTTGAATAAATCAAGGTAAGAATTGTTAGAGGATTTCGTCAGCACAACAGCTACTTCTGATCACGTTGCGCTCTACAGTGTGGTCTTGAGCTCATCCTAATAATTTTTTGCCTATGTGAGTTTTGCACAGAACAAATTCAGAATTTCCATATGTAAATCACATTTTCTTCTGCAAGCAGATACAGTATGAATCTTTTGGAACAGGTAAACTCATGCCATGGCACAGAAAACAGTGCTCATGTGCAGACAATGAAGTTTCATTAAAATATAATTTAGGCTCATCTGCATAATGTTGATGTTTGCATTTCCAGAAATGTTCACACAGCAAATGCTAGATGGGGAAAAACAGCAAAACACCAAGAGTACCTATCCCATAGACAGAGTGCCCTTTCATACCCAAAAAGAAACTCTTACCATAATAAAGTTCTATTTCAAAAGTTACCGCTTCTCTTTTTTAACATGACTGATCTGGACCAAAGTTCTAAATTTACTAAAACTTTGCAAGGCGAGGTGTGCATTCACAGGCCATGACAAGGCTTTGCTGTTATAAGAGGCTGGTTAGAAGGCAGCCAGCCCTCTCCTCACTGCCAAGCCAGCCACAGCCTACCACGGCTACAGTTACAAGACTGAAAAGTTTTTTCTTCTTATTAAATGTATACACACCCTGTACCAAACAAGCCACCAACGGTGCTGACGCAAGCGAGCCTGGAAAAAGCAGCAGCGTATATTCTCATAGCCCAAAGCCTGAAAGTGCTTGGGAAAGCATTATCCAACGCAAGAAAATTCGTACTGTAGACATTCTGCATTTCCAAAAGATTTCGCTCCTCCCTGAAACTCTTTCATATTTAAATCCCGATATTTAAACTCTAAATTGCATAGAGAAAAATATGTACCGCCAGTAAACAACTTGATAGAAACACTCCGTTATCATGACTACACAACCAACACACAAAGTAGGCAAGACATTTAAATTAATGGTATCCCTTCTAAATATGATACGTGAAAGCAGACTAGTCACAAAAGAACTATAAAAACAAAGTCAGCAAACAATCAAAAAATGCATGATTAATAACAGGCTATAGGATGCCCCAGAGGACAAACAAAAACAAAACAAATTCATTGTCTATACTCCCTTTTCCTCTAGGCTTTATTTTATTTTGTTTCTCACATCCTGAACCTCCAATCTTTTTTCTCTGCGGCTGGTGAAGAACGCGTACCATACTGAAGGGAGGAGCTCTAAATCCTCACCATAAATTATTTTCTGTATTTTATGACATACTTTTGATGGAGTTTTAAAGAAGCCTGCAGTAGGAATGATTCACACGACACTTTTTCCATATCCATGATGTATAACAGCCATCTATGCCGAGAGTACCGCTCGGCTGCTGCTCGCAGTGTTTATCCCATCGCGCGCTCACAGTGGCAGGTCACTTAAAGTCCGCTTGGGTACCACCGCCCAGGCATGCCCACGGCAAGCTGACTGATGCTGTCACACTAAAGAGCTTTCTACTTGCAGGCTGCTAAGAAGTTTGGAGCTCAACTAATCAAAGTGCTGCTTCAGTGTGGCATGTCCTATATTTGTACCGTGTGATGACCATTTTATTTAAGAAGTACAGAAAAAGCATCATTTTAATGACTTTGGTATTGCCTCCCTTTCTCAACTACAGTTGCCTTTGTTCCTTTCTGAAAAGTTTGGGACTTGCTCGTTAGCATTACAATGGGAAGTTGCTTCAGATTAAACATAACACAACTGGCTAACCAAGGCCAAAGACATCTGAGGGCACAAATCCCCAACTCTCCTTTCAATCAATACAGAAATTAAAGATAGCAATGTTTCTTTTGTGCCTATCAAACAAGCATACTGAAAAGGCAGGGAAATAATTTCCTACTCTGATTATGTTATATATTCCCAAATTTGCAGCAAATTAATTTCCCAAACCATCCCAGACTATGGGCACGTTGCTTGCACAAGCATGAAGCCAAAGAAGCTGCTCCACGTCAATGTGTGTGAAGTCTGTAAGTAAGAGCACCTAGTTTGCGTCCTACATGCATCCTCTACGAAAAGTAAGTATTAGAGAGCATCATAAGCCCAGGTCAGATGGTCACGGACAATAAAGCAAGAATAAAAGTTTCTCAACCAGACAGCAGGGTTGGGCAAAGCCTCCCCAGAGCAGGTTGTTTCACCAGGCTTAAACACAATACAGTACATCTCAGCAGGTATGTCTGAGCTGAGAAATCACAAGAACCAGGGTTTCTGGAAAGCAAACCAGAAACCTGGGGCACTAGCGAGACACTAAAAAATAAAAACAACCCACGCCACACACCCACCCAAATAAGACATCACACCAGAAGAACTCCACCACCTACTCAGCGTACCTTGAACACATTTGTGAAATCCATCACGCCCACATTAATCTCTGGATTACTGCTTCCTGCACACGCAATAAAGCCAGTACTTGGCTCAGAATGGTTTCCCTCCAATGCCCACCCTGCAATCCCCAAAACCATATACCAAAACATAACTTCTTAAAGTTTCCGCACCCCTCTCCCACAAAGAACACCACGAATAAGACTGCTTGTATATATGGCAGGCATACACACGTGCAAAAAGAAAGACTCTTGACTCGACAACCCAACACTTCTCTGCGGTGGAAGGAGAAAAAAGGCTCAATTCCCAGCTGGAATTAGAGCAGGGACCTGAGCCCTCATTTTTCTTTGTGTGGGAAGAGTACTGATCTACTAGATCACAGGCTACTCTCATACTGGTGCTTGGTCAGAGAAATCTTTGGCTAAACTTACACATTGCCAATTACAAAGTTGAGTGTTGTTAGATCATGGTGCTTCAAGAAAAGAGTTCTTACCACCCCCAAATTTTGTACCACATATGCTCCAAACTACAGACAAAACAGCCACCTGTGAAAGAAAATGGTATTTGTTGAATCCAGAAACCAATGCGCGACATATTAGAAATAAGAGGACCACAGTTTCAGCAGAACATAGGCATCAGGTACTGCAACAACATCACCTTTTTTTTAAAGGACCACAAAGAAAACAAAACTGGTTCTCTCACTGTAATCATGCCGAATGCTACTGTAACCCTTCATGAACAGATGCCACAAAAGCCATTAACATCCCAACTCCTACACCAGCTTTGATTTTGGCACTATAAACACAAACATTTTGAGGGCTGGGGAGGAAATCAAAGACGAAGTGAGATTACTAACCTTCAACGTACTGCGGTTGCCAAGCAGGCAGTCCTGCAGCACCGGTTCATATTTTTTCATCAAAGTATCCCAGTTCCGGTCACTAACAGCAAAGCCACTTTCACAGCTCGAGGTGACAGAAGAGCCAGCAGAAGCTGCGTCTGAGGAATCTGTAGAATATGAAAACGTTGCATCTGTGTCCGAGAGTGAGACAGTCTCACAATTCTGTAGTTTGTCATTCACTGCGGTCCTGTTTTCATACTCCAAATCCTCACTGGGCCTGGAGAAGCAACGCAAAGCTCCCAAGCGCTCACGAGTTTGCGCCATCTCTTCCGGCTCCTGCGGCTTCCCCGTGGTGCTGGGATGCAGAACATACTTGGCTTCCTCGATGGCTGACTTGCCTTCAGCATCGCTTAGTCCAGAGGCCGAGTTCAGGGAAAGCTGTATGAAGCTGAAACTCGAACTAAAGCTATCGTGTGCGCCAACAGAATGAGAAACATCTCTGTTTTGATATTCACAGTTGTTGTTCACTTCTGCCTGATCCAAAGCAGACATGTTTGGGGTCTTGCTCACCTTAGCGCCGTGGCTTTTCCGTCGTGTACAGCATACAGCAGAAACATCTCCTCTGCCTGTTGCTGCAGCAGGGTAAACTGCTGTCACGGTGTCTTCTGACCCTGGGCTCTTGCAACATGAAAGATTTTTGCAGCACCCTGGCACGTTCCCAGTAGCAGCCAACACTGTTACCCCATTAGCAGGAACTACCACACTACTCGCTGCACCACAGCATAAGAATTCAAAGTTCTTTTGGCACTGTCTGTGCAGAGAGCAGTTCTCAAAGTCTCCACAACGCTGCCTGCCATGTTGGAGCTCTTCAGGGCTGAACAGCTTGCAGGCACCTGGGGACTGAAACTCTGTCTGTCCCTGAGCTTCTGGCTTCACGTATCCAGGTCTTCTCGCCAGTTTCTTTTTATGAAGAGAGCCTGCAGGCGTTAAGTGCTCCTGACCATCTGGGGGAAGGGAGGAAAAAAAAAAGTCATTGAAATGTTTCTGCCATTTTCTAGGCTCAACATATTGTAGCATCTGAAAAGAATTGTTTCAGGAATTTCAAACTGCGCATCGCCTTCCATTTCAACAAAACAAAGACAGGGACCATACCGCAGATCGAGGAGCAAAGACGTTGCCAGAGAACGTTGTGTGTTTTCACCCACTTTGTAAAGAGTTTGCACCTGCTTTTAAGTGAACTTGCTAACATAATCACATCCATCAGGACACAAACCTGGGTATGACGAACCACATCACCTTCCCTATTCACAGCACACTCTGTGCTGCTTCTTTCTCAATTTGCTTAGCTAATGGAGATGCGAAATGCTAAAGCACAGACCTTGCTTAAGTCTCTCTGATCCAGAATGATTTTCAGACTTACAAGCACACCTAGGATAGGACTGAATCTGCGTGAAAAAGACAAGAACCATACTCACAAAGATATTTTATGCATCAAGGGGAAATCATGCCTGACCAAACTAATAGCTTTCTACGATGGCATGACTGGCTGGTTAGATGAGGGGAGAGCCGTAGATGTTGTCTACCTAGACTTCAGCAAGGCTTTCGACACAGTCTCCCATAATATCCTCCTAGGGAAGCTCAAGAAGTGTGAGCTGGATGAGTGGTTGGTGAAGTGGATAGAGAACTGGCTGAATGGCAGAGCTCAGGGGGTTGTTATCAGCGGCGCTGAGTCTAGTTGGAGGCCGGTAACTAGTGGTGTCCCTCAGGGGTCAGTACTGGGCCCAGTCTTGTTTAACTTCTTCATCAACGACCTGGATGAAGAGTCAGAGTGTACTCTCAGCAAGTTTGCTGATGACACCAAACTGGGAGGAGTGGTGGACACACCGGCAGGCTGTGCTGCCATTCAGCGTGACCTGGACAGGCTGGAGAGTTGGGCACAGAGGAACCTGATGAGGTTCAACAAGGGCAAATGCAGGGTCCTGCACCTGGGGAGGAACAACTCCATGCATCAGTACAGGCTTGGGGTGGACCTGCTGGAGAGCAGCTCTGTGGAGAGGGACCTGGGAGTGCTGGTGGATGACAGGCTGACCA